AGTTCAGGAAGACTGAAGGATACAAGAACTATAAAGAAAAATCAATTGTATGTCTATACATTTGCAATGAACAATCTCAAAACGAAATTAAGAATTTCATTATAACAGAATTAGAAGGAAATAAGCTTAAAAAAATAAGTATAAAACACACTCTGAAAATTGTAAAATACTATTGAAAGAAATTAAAGATCTGTATCAATGGAAAACCACTTCATGTTCATGAATTAGAAGACAACTTTTTTTTTTTATTAGAGACAGAGTCTCACTGTATTGTCCAGGCTGGAGTGCACTGGTGCAATTATAGCCCACTGCAGCCTCAAACTCCTGGGCTCAAGTGATCCTCCTGCCTCAGCATCCTGATTAGCTGGCACTACAGGCCCACATCACCACACCTGGCTAATTTTTAAATGTTTTGTAGAGATGCGGTCTGGCTATGTTGCCCAGGCTGGTCTCAAATTCTTGGCCTCAAGTAATCCTCCCACCTCAGCCTCCCAAAGTGCTGGAATTACAGGCATGAGTCATCATGCCTGACCAGTGATAAAACATTAAATATCCTTACTGAGATACAATTTACATACCATACAATTTACCCATTTAAAGTATACAATTCAGTCAGTCACCAGGCCACGCTTCAAGACTTATCATTCTTATGATGCCAATGTTACAGAATCTTTGGGGTGTTACCTTTCTGGCCAGAAACATCTGTGGCCAGTGGCACCTGTGCCAGAGTTTTGCTCGGACCTGCTGGGCTCATTCCACCCACCTGGCCTGGCTGGCTGTGCTCGGCTCATGCTACTGGCCTGTATCCCACACTGACCAAGGGAGACTGCATGAAGCAGCAAGAGGTATGTGAGCAAGCATGGAGTCTGGCCACCGCACAATCAAACATGCTGGAGGTGGCAGTAGGGCATGCAGCTCCAGGTGCCAGCATAGGTGCTGGCTCTCTGTGAGGCTGCAGCTGGACCAGGAGCACCACAAGCAGTATCCACAGCTGGCACCAGGGAACATGGTGACACCCAGAACTGTTTGGAGACACCAGGAACCACAGGGCCCCAAAGAGGCAGTCACAGCCCTGGCTCAGGGAGCTCCCAGGTCTGGGCTCCTCAAAGGGCTGCAGCTCTTCTTTCCTTCTCTTCACCTGCAACAAGGTTAGCAAGGGGCACGTCTCAACCCTGTTTGTGTTACAGCTCTTTCAGCCCCATTTGGCAGTTCCCAAGTTCTTGTCCTGCAACCAAGAAGAATGAGGTACACAGACAAGTGGAGAGTGAACAAGATGAAGAGAGGCTTTATTAAGCAATAGAAAAGCTCAAAGGAAACCAGAAGGGGGCAGCTCCTTTCCACAGTCAGGGTATTCCAATAAGTGTTCAGCTCCTAGCAGAGAAGGTTCCTCTCTGCTAGGCAAGTTACTACGACAAGTGTTCAGCTATTAGCAGAGAGGGTAGCTCCTCTCAGCAGCTGGTCATCCCATCGTCTGCATAGCTCGCAGGAGAGAGGAAGCCTGAGAGTGGATAGCTCCTCTCTGCAGGCATGTCATCCCATCATCTCCCCGTCATCTCTCCTTCATCTCTGCAGTTCTCAGTAGTGAGCAGGTCCTAGAATGGGTGGTACCTCTCTGCAGGAAGGTTGTACCATTGTCTCTGCAGCTCTCAACAAAGAGGAGGCCCTAGAGTGGGGTGCTCCTCCTGCAGCTGGTCTTCTTAACATCTGCTCAGTTCTGGCTGAGCCTGGGGCTTTTATGGGCCTCCGCAGAGAGGATGTGTGCACCAATTGGTCCATGGGCGGGCCCAGAAAAGGCACCACAAGTTCCCACTGTGATCCATGAG